AAAATATAGGGATCAGAATTAAATTTGAGGTTAGACCTCTTTTTTCACCAAAAGTTCCACACTGTAGCAATTCTGACGTCACCTCTGTTCAAATTTGGAAGGCACAATCACGCAGATTTCAATCATTTAAATTATTTTAGAGTGGCATACTTGATTTTTTTTTTCTCGTTTGTTTTTCAATTAATTTTCGGGATGAAATTTCTTGTTAATTGAAATAGTTACGAAAAATCGGATATCATGGGAATATTCGTTAGACTGTATCATATCCATGTGCTGATTATATGTACTTATTTCAAAAACACCTTATATATGGCTAATGGTGGAAAAAATTAAAAAAGTAATATACACCTTTTGGTGATAAAGAATATTATTACCAAGGGACCTTATATACAGGGCCTACTCTAGGTGAGATAGAGTATGGGCCATGCCTTACACCTCGATCTCGGCTGAAGCCTATACCCAGCGAGCACAAAAACATCTCAGAGATGTTAAAAGTACGAGATTTCGAGACATTGAACCTCCACTGCGATGTTCTGTTCACACATGAATAGAACTATTATAGAACAGCCAATGTCCGCCGCAGGCGGCAATTATCGAGATGTCCTTGATATGTCACAAAACTACCTTCTCCCTAGTTCTTTTTAAAGCCTTTTCATGGACACAGCAGAACATTTTTAACGCGTCTTGCGCACATTAAATCGCTGTAAAAAAACATTTTCGATGTACTTTTCTCAAGCCTTTTGTCAAAATGAACTTTTGCATTAGGATTCCATTTCCCATGAAGGAAAAAATGCATTAAAAATAAATTGAACATAAAAATGTTTTCTTGATATGAAATTACCTTCTTAATCGGTTTCTGAGTAGTGCTTACTCTTACTACACACAGACATATAATTGCAAATAGGTTTCCCAATTTTTGAAATGTTCTCCACAATGCATAATTTTGCAACTGCTGTGTATTGATGAATTCGTACTTTTATATATTGATTACACTGAGGCACCGAACAACTCATCTTGCATCTGATGGTCATTATTACAAACTAAATAAGTCTTCTAACACAATAATAAACTTCACCAAATTTCTTTCTGTTCGTTAGCAGCGTGATGTAAGCGTGACACGCTGCAAACGCGAATGCAAATTGCGAACAAGAAGAACAAAATCGAAAACAAATCAGAATTCATCGTATTGTGACGTAAGCATGAGACGTTGTGGTGGGGCAAACAAAGAAAGGGCACAAAAGAACAAAAACAATACTTTCAATATCCTTCTAAGACCTCTTTGGGAAGTGCATATTACGCCTCAAAAAAACATCCTCATGCCTACATTTCTAAAACATCCCAAAACATCCCAGGGATACCTCTCAGTAGGCAAACAAAGAAATGCCACAGAAGAACAAAAACAATACTTCAATATCCTTCAAAGACCTCTTTGGTCAGTGCATATTACGTCTCAAAATAACATCTTCATGCCAACATTTTCAAAACATCCCAAAACATCCCAGGGATGTTTGTGCTCGCTGGGTAGGGATATAATCTTGGTTCCTGGATAATATTGATATTCTTTACTACCTTGGCGTATGAATAATTATTTCCAGACTCATTAAGTCAAGAAGTCGGAACTGCTTTTTCGAATGTCAGTAGGTATACACCTCTCGTGATTCAGCTGGCTTATATCATTACAATCAACGTCTTCCTGAATATAATCAAGATTTGCTTTCACTTCCAAATTGATTTTCTTCAAAAGTGGAGTACCTACTTCATGCACGATACAGCAAGTGAAACAGTTGATGAAACTTGCGGTAATAATAATGTACTCACCTCATAACAATAACAGCAGAAGCATCGTGAAGACATGGATTGGCAATTTTTTTTATAACGCCTAGTGCTCAAGTCTTGAAGGATTCATAGTTGAGCGACGATTATAGTGTTCGTGTAATTCTTTGTGCCTCGTACAAACTAACAGATTTTCAATGAAAAATTCAAGTGAGTTAATTCTTATTGAATAATAATAGTTTTTTCGACAGTTTTCACGATGAAATTTCGATAAATCGAAATCAAAATCTGAATTTTCTCGAATAGAATTTCTTCTAACCAATACTCTGGAAATAGGTTTGTTCATTATACAGGGTGGAGTTTTCAACTGAATGAATTCAGGAAGAAGGTGGATGATTTTTTTCTAAATATTGCCCTTCAGGGGTAGCCTATAGCTTTTGCCCCTCATCGAAAAGCTGGTTGAAGAAAGAATCCAGCGTACTGATTTTAAATTGTTTCACGGTTGAGGGTTGCATCAAATCAAAACATAATTTCAAAGTTCAGTAAATGTATTTTCAATGTCTTTTCACCAAATGCGAATTAGTTATAAGGCATTTCGAACTGAGATATCCAATTTTTCCCGCGTGTGACATTAAACACACATGGGACGAAATTTACCTTTGCTCCCAATATACAGTGTGTCCCAGCTAAAACTTGTCTCCCCCTTGATCTCCGATGTCGTTGAAAAAATTGAAAATCACTCGAACAGGTCGATTTCAATTTGGCGGGGGACACATTTTTCTGCAATCATCATATTTCAAAGTTCAAAGCATCAACTCTCGATTTTCAAATGGAGCACCCTGTATTTCATTGCATTTTCAGATTTTCCCTGCTTTTATCAATGTATCATACTTGGTGTCTAGCGGGAATGATTACAGAGATATAGGGTGTTCGATATCGAGATTTTTAAACTTTAGGATTTTTTTTTGTGTCGAAACTATTCATTATCGGCCGAAACGGTTTTCATGCCTCTATTTTAACTTTTGATTAACAATATCTACTGATATTTAATTCTAATATTATTGTTCCATTCGATGTTTTCAGTTAGTCTTGATAAAGAAAATAAAAATTTTCGAAAGCTCGACAAATAACGAAGAAATCTAATTAATTCATTGGTCCAGACTGCATCCCACTAATATTTCCAAGAATAATGATATTTAATTCTGAATATCAATTTTTTTTCTATGCAATTTTCGGCATTTTGACTAGGAAATATGATAATATCATCATCCTTACCACCATTTTCGAGATGAATCGATTTTAAATGTCTGCTACGTGATAAAAATTGTACTTTTTCTCAATAGGGTTCCTACCATAATAATTTTCAAAATATTATTTTTATGGTTCCTCTCATATTTTGAGTCAAACATCACAGGTGGATGTTGAAAGAAGGGTATCTTCTATCAAAAAATAATTTTTGGGAAAATTTGCTACCTTTTTATCAGAAAAAAACACTATTTTTGTTACGCAGCAGACTCTTAAAATCTCGAAAATGGTGAGTGCAATCTCAACTGAAGAGGTGTAAAAATTGAGATATTTTCATATTTCCTGATCAAACTGCCAAAAATTGCTTCGAAAAAAAAGTTGGGGAAAGAAAAGCCCCTAGCCCCGCCTTTTATATACACATTTCTCAACATGTTTTAGTCATTCGAAAACTTTTTCACGAATTTTCTGAATCTGTGCTCACTTTTTCATTATATCCACAAAATACAGGGTGACTGGGAAGCAAAAAAATGTTTTTTTTTTTCAAATGAGAGGATCTAAATCTTATTCGATAATAATATATGAATGATATATGTTTTTGAATCCACATTGACGGGCTTCATCGAATTATAGAAAAATATATAGATCAGTTATTTCGAAAAAACATTTTTTTTCTAAGCCACCCTGTATTTTGTTGATATAAAGAGAAAGTGAGCACAAATTCAAAAAATGCTCAAAAAATCATTCCAGAAAAGTTTTTGAATGACCAAAATATGTTGAGAATTACGAGGAAGAAGTGGGGTGATACATTTGAGTGGGACACCCTGTACAAAATTTCGTTATCCCAACACGGGTATGGGCTCCCCTTTAGATAGTTATATAACATCCGAAGGGGCCATTTATGTTCACACAAACTTTTTTCACCATTTTTGTTTCTATAGAATCTGTGGTAGAAATCTTTCTATGTGATTTCGAGGCACCCTGTATATTTTGATTTGACTTAACAAGCTTTTTATATCGTTATTGGTATAGGCACATTATCTAGCTCATTATTCATCAAAAGTTTTTAATTTGTCACATTGATGCGTATATACCTATAGGTGAAGAATATACCAATTTGTATTAATCAGAGATATACCTACAGGGTGTACCACGTTTTATCAACAACTCTTCACAGGTGATACCTATAGACTTTCTGATTCAGTTGCAATAAAGATAGACACATGAGGTACAAATAACTTTAGGTTGATTTGTTGCTTATACCTTTATCTATTACGAGAATATGTTATTTTTGACATTTTATTCAAAAACAACTAGGTACCTTCCTATCCTGGGTAATATCAAAGAATATTGAATAATATCTGTTATGTATATATCTTATTCTGAGGAAATATATTCTCTATCGAATCATTTGATACATATTTATCTATTCATCATTACCAAGAAACAATTGGAATTGAATTTATGAATATATTATTTTTAATGGAAATACTTGTATTACCAAAAAACAATCATGCACAGATAATCCATATGATTTTTGATCGACTTAACAACTGCATCTTAAATATTCGATCATGAGTAAAATTCCGCACAGTAGATTATTGCGGAATGAATATTTTTGAATAGACACTCTTCAATCTTGTGGCTAAACAGCAGACGAAATTCCATGTAGAAAAAGAGACACATATTTTTGTAATTCTCTACTATGGAAATAGATGAAAACTTCCTGTATCTCAAAATTCGTCATCACATCACCTGTGAATCGTTGTCATTCAAATAATCCATCACCCGGTATAAGTCGTATATAGTGAGTATATTAGTAAAATTATCATAAATTGCTTTTGAGAACTGTCTCGTTGATTGTCGGAAGCAAAAATTGATGCATTTTATAAAAATAATTGATCAAGGTTGGTCAGGTTGAAGTAGAAGCAAATAAACAAGATTTTAATACCAACAGGAAGGATGTTTCCATTTTGAGAACCAGTATGGATTACAAGATGAACCAGAAGAGTAATACTTCCACGAATTTGTATAGGTTTTTATTCTATGAATTAGCAGGTGAGTAGGTACTCATATTTGGAACTTTCAACTTATTTAACCTAGAAAATAGTAATAAGCTTCCTAATCCTTCATCGACAGGATCACGCAAGTCTTGGAAAGACTATTTCACTCATTACATAAACTGACCAATTACAAGTTTTATGATGCTCAATGAACTTATAGAACTCTCGAGGGAAAAACAGATTATATTTTATAAAACATGAAAACTATATAATTCAAATTATTTATTATCTCCCATTCAACTGTTTGCTATGTCAACAGTTGATATGAACTATTCTACATCCAATGTTGTACAGGGTCTTAGGTACTGCCAACATCTCCCTTCTTCAATTCGAAATCCTTGAGATATTCTGGAATTCGTCTTGTTCTACTAGGCCTTGCTGGACATTCAGGTTCTGGTGATATATTGGACGATTCTTCTTCTAGATCAGGATGAGTTTCAGGAACAATATCTTGAATGACTTCAGGATTCACCTGAACCGGAGGAGTTGCAGATGACTCTTCATTTGGAACTCTTGGTATATCGAAAGATTCCATCAAAATATCTAATGGTAAAAGATTCTCTCCTATATCACACTCGGTATATCTTTTCTTCAACTGGTTCGCATGTACTCTTGATGTTTTCCGGGAGTTTTCAAGTGAAACTTCAAACATAACGTTACCAATCTTGCCAGTAATTTTCCCAGGTTTCCAGTGGAACCCATTGTTATGATATACCTTGCAATATACCATATCACCAACTTCGATTGATTTGGTAACCGCAGTATCACCATCTTGTTGTTGAACTGTTCCTCGATATGGCAATATCAGATCCAGAGTGGTTCTCACTTTCCTTCCAATTAGGATTTCCGCTGGAGATTTTTTATTTGGTGTGCAATGGCTAGGAGTGGTTCGGTAAGTTGCCAAAAAAGTCTGTATTTGTTGTTCTAATGGCTGTCCTCCTTTGCCAATTTTTTTCAATGCTCTTTTAAATGTATCGACAAACCTTTCCACTTGTCCATTCGATTGTGGGTGGTAAGGTGGCGTCCTCATATGTTCAATGCCATTCCTTTTACAAAATATCTGGAAATTTTCGCTACAGAATTGACTGGCATTGTCAGAAACAAGAGTCTGTGGATTCCCGAATCTGGCGAAAATCTCTTCCAAAGTTCTGATGATGAAGGCAGTTGTTGTATTCCTCGTGCTCACTATTTCTGGCCATTTCGAGTATGCATCAACAACAATGAAGAAGAAATCACCTCCAATGGGCCCCGCAAAGTCCATATGTAGTCGCTGCCAGGGTCCTTTGGGTGGAATCCAAGGTGAAAATGGAATCTTCGGTGGTGATTTTGCTGCTTCTGCACAACTCGAACATTTCCTGACGAAATCTTCTATATCTGCATCAATGTTCTTCCAGTATACATAGCTTCTTGCAATGGATTTCATCCTTTCTTTCCCAGGATGACCTCTGTGTAACTGGTTCAGAATGCGACGTTGAAAGATTTCTGGAATCACAACACGTTCTGCGAACATCAAACATCCATCTACAACTGAGAAATTCTCCTTCCTGTTGTAGTAAGATTTGAATTCTGCATTCAATTTCAACTTGCTTGGCCATGTATCGTTTCCAACATATTCGATGATTTCTTGTAGAGTCTTGCATTTTGAGGTTGCTTGTTGAATCATCCTGTATGTGACTGGAAGTGGATCGATGGCAGTGTTCAAAACTTTAAGAATCTCGGATTCAACTCGTATTGAAGAGATGACATATTCTTCATCTTGAACTGCATCTGGGTTGATTAATCTTGATAGTATATCGGCATGTCCAAAATCTTCTGTTTTAATATACTCGATTTGAAAATCGTATGTCTTCAGTATAAGTGCATACCTCTGCAATCGATTAGCTGTATGAACAGGAATACCTTTTTTTGAGCCGAAAATAGCTAGAAGTGGTTTATGATCACTTTGAAAAATTACAGGGCGTCCATATATCATACGGTGGAACTTCTTAGCTGCAAATATGAGGGCGAGAGCTTCTTTTTCTATCTGGCTATACTTATGATGCTCAATGAACTTATAGAACTCTCGAGGGAAAAACAGAATATATTTTATAAAACATGAAAACTATATAATTCAAATTATTTATTATCTCCCATTCAACTGTTTGCTATGTCAACAGTTGATATGAACTATTCTACATCCAATGTTGTACAGGGTCTTAGGTACTGCTGTGTTATCGTGAAAACACTATAGCTGTCTTTCAATTCTGATTGGTCGAACAGCGCTGGTGTTTTCAACGATGTAACCATGGATAGCGAAGCAAAGTCTGTCAGTTAGGCAAAAAATAATCATAGTTGTAGTTGTCAGAATGAATCGTTCAGCATTGAGCATTTATAATAAATGCTTTTTATGCTTCGTGAACGTGAAATAGTCTTGCAAAATACCACTCTGTTCTGAATATCTTCTCATAATTCCGTCTTGCATTGTTGACTCAATTGTGTTGCCGTCCTGACGGACTCGTGGTGTTGCTGGGCAGCACAATTTCGTGAACAATGAAGCGACAGAATTATCTCAAATATACAGAACATCTTGACATTACTATAATAACATAAGTTGTCTGTAGAATTATTCATTACAATTCAGAGAAGTTTCTTTTGTTTCGATTCTAAAATTGCATAGTCATATTTCATATTGGAGTCATATATTCTAGCTGGTATTCGTTCTATCCAAATTTAACAGTGCCATTACCTTTTCTGTAGTGATCTCATTAATAATAATAATCAGAGAAGTGAAACATGAAATACATATTCATGATTTTTTATTGACTTTGTGAGAAGGACACGTTTGTTTGAACTTTGGTCATATTATATGGGGTGCGTCTCAGAAGAACAGATAATGTGACAACATTGGCTACGTCATTTTGGAATCAAACATATTGTGTCATCACCCTGTTATCCCTTCTTCAATTTGTTGTTACTATTTCACGTATTCTGAACAATTTGAGTTTTTCTCATATTTTCTAAAATAGCCTGGGGAAATTTTGTTGTTCCATCATCTACTTGTGTACGATTTATAATTAATCAACTAATGGCATTTTACAGTATTCTCGATGATTTGGAATTACACCCGATGTTTATATCAAGCAAGAGTCAATTAGCTTCAATTGTTCACATAGGAAATGCCTGAAAAAAACTATTATTAATATTTTCAAGAGCAAGAGCAGAGTTTATTAGTTCGGCTCGAGATATTTTCTACCGTGAAGGTGTCAATTTTTTATAGAAAGTACAGTTCCAAGTAATTTAGGAAATCTTCTCCAATCAAATCTCACTATTGTTGCCAATAAATTGATGTAATTATCTACATCTACAAGGTGTCCCAGAACAACGTACCATAAATTCTACAGGGTGAACCAGTCACCGAAATAGACTGATTGAAATCAACTTACCTCCATAAGAAAATACACCGTTGAGTTGTGAGAGGGCGATAATCAAAATTTATCTACAGATCTTCCTGAATATTTAGAAATCTCTAAAAGGATTTACTGATATAAATGTGCATAAATCATGGAATAACATAAATATAAAATAAGTTTGCAGAAGTTACAAACGAAGAACCATTATAGATGTGAAATTCCTTATAATAATATTAGTTTTTGTTTTCAAGAGATAACTTCAGGAAAATTGATGAAAATGTGCAATAAAATAGATGGTGAAGAAAGTTCAGGGCATGAAGATGTGCCTATGTACTTAATGAAAAAAATTTTAGCTCACTTTTGTGAACCGCTTACCCATATCATAAATTTTTCGTTATGTTCAGGGCAATGTCCTACAAATACTAAATTTGCAGTAGTTGAACCTGGCTTTGAATCAGGCGACCCTGAAATGATGAATTATCCATCATTTCAGGACCAATTAGCCTACTTTGTGATTTTTCAAAATTTTTCGAAATAGTTGTTTATGAGCAAAGGTTTGCTTTTTTCTTCTTTAGGGGTAGGAGCACTGAAACTGCTCTTTTTGAGTTGAGAAATGATATCAACAGTGGCCTGGACGCTGGAAAAGTGTCCTTTTTTATGTTTTGGTTCCCACGAAAAGGGATGTCCTGTAATATTCAGAGAACATCGTGAGAACCAAGGGAAATAAGGTAGGAATTGGTGTTCTTCTTAAATTTCTGGAGGATATATGCCTCGGGGAACACGCTCCCTTGGCAATGTGTTCCAGAGCCTCGCTGTTCGTTATATGAACGAGTCTTTGGAAAGAGATGTTCTGCAGGTCTCCAAAGTTACCACGAAGGGGTGCGAAGCCTCAACTCGACGGGTTGATCTTGCTGGGAGGAACAATTGTTGATATCTCAAAAGAGCATCGTCCATGAAAATATCTATAAAATTGAGCCATAGCGCCAACTTTTCTACGGTGTTCCAGTGAAGTGAGTGAGTTTGTGAGCGAGGCATCACCCACGAGACGAATTGCCCTGTTCTGGACAGAATCCAACAGTTTCAGAGTATGTTTCGGTGCTGCACTCCAAATATGGGAACAGTATTCCAGGATAGGTCGGATCTGTGCCTTATAGATCATAAGCAGCTGACTGGAAGTGAAATAGCTCCTGGCTCGAAACAGAAAGCCAAGTTTTTGGGATGCACTTTCAGCAATTGATCTCACGTGATTTTCTCAAGAAAGGTTATTGCTGATAGTAATACCAAGCATCGAAATGAATGTCTTCAAAGGTATGGTTACTCCTGACAAGCTTATGTTGGGCACAGTGAGATCGGTTTTTCTAGAGAAAAGGCATGCTTGTGTTCTGTTTTCATTGAAATCTACCAAGTTATTGGATCCCTATTCGAGAATTGTTCCCATGTCCATATTTATTATTTATGTTGTCAACATTTCTCCCTCGTTCGTTTCTGATTTGCCTGGCTGGTATTGGGAAAAAGATATTTTACATTCTCTTTGATGAAATTGTAATATTTTCGGAGTATTCTACTGACCATATCTTGATATCTCAATGAAGGACGAAATTAATTATCTAACTTTTTTCTTACTGTAGTTTTCTCATCATTCTTCTTATATTTCAAGATATCTAAAAAAATTATTATTTGTGGTTCTCCATCCTCGTTCATAATGCCAGGATAACCTATATTATTTTGCAAATTTTCACGTCATTTGTGATCACATATTGACCACAATATCCATGTTCACCATTTCGCAAGTTCATCATGTTATCTGGGAGCTGGTCGATTCCAAATTTCATTTTTTTTTCGCAAAATTACTTGACTAACAACCTTATTATAAATACGAAATCGCCAATCTGCTCTGAGTGGACTGAAATGTTGAATAATTATCGAAAGCTCAAAGTCATTCCTACAAATGTTCATAAATGAACAAAATTGGTAAATTACGAGAGAAAAAAAACTACTTTCCTGGCTATATGCCACGCAGAACATTGAATTTCATCCTTCCGAAATCTATGCAATAATTCGTAGAGATGAGTTGCTTCCATCGGATTATTTTTGTTCCCCCTGTAGAATTTACGGTACGTTGTTGTTGTTGCTGTTAACTGATAAATTTCTTACTAAACCATTTGGAGAGTGTATGACCGAGTGTTTGAAAATGATTATGAAAATCCATCATATTTTCAGATCCAAGAACAAACTCATGGTTTCTCATAAGTGATCCAGGACCTCCATTGGCAATTTTGTCGATGTATTTATATTTCGTTTTGAATTGGGGTCCCCGATTGATGAAAAATAGACAACCATATGAATTGAAGACGGTTCTTGTAGTATACAATTTCCTCCAGGTATTATTAAGCACATGGCTAGTTGTGGAGGTAAGACAATATTCCAAAATGTATACCCGTTGGAAATGATAATCTTTTTCGAATTATTTTCCACCATGGCATCCATATTCAATTCAAAACGAGTTTGTGTACATTAATTTCAATAATGAGTAAGTAAATAAGATGGCATTATAAATCAACTTGGATGTGAATGTACACTTTCCTACGTAAAGAAGATATTTTAGCTTGTTAGTCAGTCCCAAGTCCAGATATTGCGAATTGAAAAAAGGTATCTAACTATAGCAAAACACTCAACATTAATTATTATAAATATTAAATACCAGCATAATTTTTGCTCGCAATGTACTAATTCTTCACATTGCTGTTGAAGCAACTTATCATACATACAGATCGAATAATATTTTCTCATGATTGTCCTTAAAATCCCAAAAAAATCATACATACTATCATAGTAATTCAGACCCATGAAGAAATAATATAGTATGAGATTTAGTGAACAACTTTTTCTTTGGATTTTCGGTTGCAATGCTTATAATTGGCTTATACATGTTGAGAAATTTGTTTTTCCTGATTGCCCTGAAAATTACATGAAATTCATAGACACTGATCCAGACCCATACAGAAAGAATCTATATAGTATTATATTAAGTAAAAAACTTTTTTTTACAATTTTCAAAATTAGCGATTCACGTAATGCAGTATGCTCATACAGGTTTGAAAAGAAAATGAAAAAATGATGTAGTTTTCAATGAAAAAACAATACACGAAATTGGTTTTATAACATTTGGAAAGAAAATTATATGTCTCACACGACATCAAATGTAGATTGACTGTCTAGTAAAACGCATAAGTATTTCCTGAATGCCCTAAGAATCTCAAAAAATTCATAGACACAAAGAAAGAATTTGGAATCAGATTTACTAAAAAACTCTTTCTTTAGATTTTTAAAATTTGCGGTTGACGCAATGCCAGAGGATGCTCATACAGGTCGCTGAAATTTTTTTCCTGATTGCCCTAAAAATTATAAAAAAAAACATACACAATAATCTCGACCTATGTGAAAATAATCTAGTATATCGGATTAGGTGAAGAATTTTTCCTTTGGATTTTCAAAGTTAGCTGTTCACGCAATATACAGTATATACTCATACAGGGAGAAAGTTTTTTCCTGGGTGCCCTAAATATCCCAAAAAATTCCTAAGCACGAATTCAGACCCATAAAGAGAGAATCTAGTATCAGATTGCTTTGAAAATCACAAGAAAATTACAAACACTATTTTCCATATGATAATAATAACACCCATTGATTCTAAGGAACATATCGGGTGGTCACAAAAAAAACGGAAGTTTTCATTTTCCTCGTGGTTTCATCATTTCTCAACCGAATTCGAATTTCTTGGCGTCGTTTCATAGCTATAGTCAGGTCATTTCAAAATTCGTTATGTTTTGACTACCACTAGTATAACGTTTTATACATTTTCAGGATTTCACGCAATCTTCATGGACTTAAATCTCGATGTCAATATCAAAATTTTTCTATTCGCTAGCGGTTTTTGTGAATCACGAAAGTTAGGGTCACTCCACCATTTCGTTTTTTTTCAATTATGAAATTTTCATGTTTCACTGTGTACTACAGCTATTCAGTTTTGAAATGGCATTAGGAAATCCAAATTCGATTGAATTTTCATGAAGCCTGAAACAAAATAATAATAATCGTTTATACGAGATTAGCACATTCACTCCATAACAAATTGCAAAGAAATGAGTGTATCTACTGGACTTTTTGTTCGATTTCGATGTTCGAGTACTCATTCTCTTCAGAAATGAATAGTCTAAGATGACATCGGTACAGGTTGGAAATAATCTGATTTTATTTTTCTCCAGCGGTTTTTGTAAATGACAATACTTTGGTAGAATCCGCCATTTTGTTCTTGTTCATTATGAAATTTTCAAATATTCCACTGTATACTATAGCCCTTTAGCTATAAAACGACGCCAGGAAATTCGGATTTGGTTCATATACGTATTAATAATCAATACGGATAATCTCTATCTGTTTCCATAGCGAAATATGAAGCCGATTTTTGAAGACAAATGACTCTCCATGAGGAAAAGTTTTGAAAAGATCAGACACATACTGCTTTGATTGAAAGGCTAGTAAACGTCATTGTCCACCGAAACGCATATCCTTATGGATATTCATTTGTTTCATATTTTTGGCTTCATCCTGGCACCCGTTATGATCCGTATTGTTTATTGATACGTATATGATTTGGTTGAGAAATGATGAAACCACGAGGAAAATAAAAACTTCCGTTTTTTTTTGTGACCACCCGATACAATGTCTTTAGAGGGATACAAAAAATAATAATAAATGGATGAAATATATGCAATGAAATGAAACAATTCAATCAGAATTAATTGATGCAAGGAGAAAGTTAAATTAGTAGTGTTAGTTAGTTATGTTATATTTTATTCACATCAATGTCATCAATTCATATCTGGAAAGCAAGGGGCTAGAAGTAGAACAAAGTGGATTTTAGGATAATCCATGAAATATACATTCTACATTCTTCAGTCTTGAAGTTTCACATCTGCAACCCTAATTTTTGGTTCATTAGCACTTCTTTGGTCTATTTATCCACGTCTTTGATCAAGTCTTTCAAATTCTCATTGGGTAGACTATTATAAATATTTATTCCACAACAATTTAATGAAATGTTCCAGAATAAATGTTCAATAAATCCAAATATAACTGATTTTTCACCAGAAAAAAATTGTCCGAGACCATCAGGTAGCAAAAAACACCCTGTATGAAGATGCATGTCTTCAATTATGTTAATATCTATATATCTTTTTCAGGGTCTTGATATATTGAACACAATCAAATTCAGCTGGGTATGTCAACCTGTAGATTTTTCCAATTCGCCAATTGCTTTGCGGGTAAAAAAAAATCAAAACCACCCAAACTAAAATACCATACCTATAAACTATCATTCTTTTAGATCATCAGAGGTGTCTACATCTATTTTTTGGCCAAAATGACAGAACTTCTCGACACGGTATTCTTCGTTTTACGCAAAAAAGACAGACAAATAACGTTCCTCCACGTATACCACCACACAGCCATGCCGATGATAAGCTGGGGTGCCACAAAGTACTTCCCAGGGGGCCATGGAGCCATAGTCGGCCTAATCAATTCCTTCGTTCACATCGTCATGTATTCGTATTATATGATGGCCGCTATGGGTCCCCGATACCAAAGGTTCTTGTGGTGGAAAAAGTATATTACAACTCTACAAATGGTAAGAAACGAATATTAGTATGAAAGAAACTCATAATCGCAAGACAAATAGAGACTGTTTCGGCTGGTCGAGCCTCATCAGTTGCACTCGGCCAGCAAATAATCGATTCAGGAAGAGTACTTCGATACAATATAAATATTGTCGCAACTCGTGTCGTTCTAATAGGTTAAATGGCATTATTGAGAACAAACGGCGCATCCACCACGTATCGCAACTCAGATGTTGACCCTCCGATAGGTCGTAACTTAGCTACTCGCTTGGCTTTTTTGACGAGAGGTTACGATCATTTCACTACCCAACCATATTTATCCCCAGATAAAGAGAATTGTTTTTCCAAAGTAAGACAAACAATTTATATTCAATCACGAAAACATAAAAATGTGCCAAAAAGGCGGAACAGCAAAGAACAAATATGAAACGAGCTAACAACAAAAACAAGATGATGGTTCTTGGTACTTATATTTTGTTATGGGCAGCAGCACCAAAGTCGAGGAGATGTCACACCCCAAAAGTGGCATAGTGATGAATAAGTGTTATGTACTTAGTGATGAATCGAATAACGATTGAACTGATAATGACTATGCCTTATCGATTCGGGCTCTATTTATATTTGAAATCGATGCTAGATTCGCAATTTTCCGCAATGGGAATGGCCGTTACCTTTCGATATTGCTTACCTAGGTATTATCGCACGATAAGCGGTTTTTGCAGGAACTGACGTCTATGAACTCCGCTGATCTGATAGAAACTACACTGTACTGGATGTTTTAATTCGGAAAAGTTAATTCATGATGAAATATCTTGAAATGAACAAGTTTGAGTGATGCTGATTCATAGGCATTTGTACTTCTTGACAATATACAAATGGACCACATTGTATATTTTTACATATTCAAGTTCAAAAGCTCAATACAAGTGCAACCATATTATGTCAAATGTCATTTTCGCTAGAGATTTTGAAATTGAAATTGTTATTTTATTTCACCTCGTGGGTCAATAAGATATGGTCAAAGCTTTTCACAATGAGTCCCAGATACTAGAGAAAAATATGTATGTTTTTCTCCAAGCGGCAGGAAAAGTGGCTTTTTTCTTCCGCATAACAGGCAGAAAAGGTGTACTTTTACTGGCTAGGCAGAAAAAAATTATTGCTATGCAACGTTCCAAGAAATTCTAATGAAATTAGTAATCAAAATTGACACTGACAATGGGTGAGCACAAAATGATGGACTTCTCAATGAAAAAATACACAAAATTGGTTCCTTGTCATTTGGAGAAAAAATTCTACGTTTCACACAGCAGCAAATGTAGATTGACTGCCACGGCAGTCAATCTACTACTTTTCTGCCTAGTAAAACAAAACTATTATTTTCAAACAAAACATGAGTACTGGAGTGGATTGAATATATTCAGTCAATCAAGTCATGTATTCTAGATCGTGGTATTCTCAAAAGCCATAATTTCAATTGTTTTTTGAAAATATGAAACTGATGAATTATTTTAATGTCGTGTGGAATATATATATATTATATTAATTAATATAGTTTGTGCATATAATTGTCTTATGTCGAGTTTTTGTGATATTTCATATAATTGAAAGATTCCGTAAAGTTCTGTTGAATCGATAGTAATATCCGAGGTAATAACCGTATAATAACCTGTTATACTGTAATCTCAAAAATGCATATCTCAGAAACGAAACATAAAAAATTAAAAAACTTTTCGCATATGATAGTCAACATATTCAAAATTGTGTAAGTAAAATGAGATCCAAATTAACGAAACTGTTCTCGAGATATTCAATTGAAACCTTTTAAATAATCTTCAATAAAATCTAACACACCCTGTATCTTAATGAAAAGCAATATTGAACAACTGAATTCGCTAGTGAGTTACCCCAGCTTTCAATAAATCAACAGTATCAATCAATCCCTTTTTTTGTAATCAAAAACAAGCTGTCAGTTGTTTTCCAAAAGGGGTATAACACAAAATTCAAAAAATTCATATTTCGAACATAGTTACCAGGAATGAAAATATGTTCTCGAAGCCTACAATAGACTGAAACTATGAGGTCTCACCAAAATATAACTTGTTGGTTTTGGAATAGTGCTCGAATTTTTCCGAAAAATGAATTTTTTGACCGTGCCTCGTATGCACCCTGATTTACTATTATTTATGTGATCATAACTAGACATGTATTTGAGTTCCGATCAATACATTTTCTAGCTTATTTTGTCTTCTTTATACTAAAAAAACAGTTTTTTTTGTCAATCCTACCCTGATACGACGTTTTTACGAACTTTGTCGGCTTATATCTCAGAAACTAAACATACAAAACTTTTTCTACTCACATAACTAAAATGGCATTTAGCGTACGGATATGTACCACGCTAAATGATAGATTAATCACGGATTGTCGATCTGTGATTTATTCGAAATATTAAACACGTTACCATGACAACACGATTTCTTAAACACATTACCATGGCAACGCAGTTCATTAAACACAGCTTCGGTAATTTGAGACATGTCTGGCCTGTCAATTGTATTGAATGTCAACTGTTGTCTTCAAATTTTGTGTCAGAATTATTCAAACAATAGTCGTTTGTATCAGAATTCTTCATTAAAAATATATGCGAAAAGTAGACGAAAGTCAAATCGAAGAGAATGTTCTGGTACTTGCATATCTCCAAGAAGTGTGAAAATGAAGCATATCCATCTTAGAGAACAATTTATTTATTCTGCGTTAAGCATGACAATAAACGTGAAACAAAGGTTAGTAAGCAACGGACTGGACACATCTACAACCAATATCACTTATACGTGTCTCGCTGGTTGCATGCAGTTGCATGTATTATGTTCTCAATTCCCATTCCTTTCGAATTGATTTGTAGGTGCAGGAATTGCAGGTATGTTAATGTAATTTTCGGAGTTCGTAGAAAAATCATAGTATGTAACGCGTTCATAAACTCTTCTAGACACTCGTTTATTAAACACTCGCTCCGCTCTGCTCCGCTCGTGCTTAAAATACTCGTTACTAAAAGGACGTTTATAACACTTGTTACATAATATACTATTTCAAACTCACATATTTTTTTAATGAGCCATCCCACAACAACATAGTAAAATTTCAGCCAATTCGACCGAGAGCAAAATTTCCCGTGTTTTCGTGCGGGGTCCTTTCATGTGTTTCGTCATCTTTCAGCTTTATCTGTAGAGATCCTAAATCAGGTAGATTGGTCTGATACGAGGTGAACGGTAAATAATTATGAAATTATGATTTTTGTTGTATTTTCGGTTTTTTTTCGGGGGGTTTTTGGTAGGCGGAAGACAGTTCTTCCTTTTTGACACATTATACTATTTAGGCATACTGTCTAGATCGATTTTTGTTTTTCAGGCTCAATTCGGTTTAGCCTTTCTTCACAACAGCCAACTACTTTTCGTGGATTGCGGGTATCCCAGATGGTCTGTGGTGTTCACTTTACCAAATGCAATCTTCTTCTATGTCCTCTTCTCGGATTTTTACCAGAAAAACTACAGTGGTGAGAAGAAAATTTGTTATGGTGAAAAAATGGAGCTTGCTTCTTCTGAGAAATGCTCTTATTCAGAAGTGAAGGAAGCCACAAGTGGATATTCTACAGGTGGACTTGGAATATCTGATAAAAAGCTGTTATGAAATATTACTAGCTGGTTCTACAATTATTTAATCGTGTATTGAATAGGTAGGATTGAGAGAGAACATTTGATTCATTGATTTCCAGTTTCACCATAGAAAATAGCTTCATACGAGATGATTCAATTTGTTTCCGAAAAATGATATGAATGATATTCTAGTATAGTGGGGAGACAAATGACAAATACATAGTTCATGTTTTATCGTTTACATCATACAGTATGCTGAGGGATTGTAAGAATCTACAGGGAGATTTTTTCTATAAAATCTGTTGGTACACCAGTGGTACATTCTGAAATATGTAATATAATTTTTTCGTTCTGTTTGTGAGTTTTTTCTTATATTATTTGAAATTTTTACAAAAGGGAGGAACATATATTATAAACTCACCGGCAAAATAAACCGCGGCCACCAAAAAATCTGCCAAAATTGTTCAGCCTGTAACTTTTTTAATCCCTGTCCGATTTTTGTGAAACTTCGATCAAATCGTACATTAATGTTCCGGAATGTTAGCCTAGATTTTAGTTTTCCTGAAGAGCTGATGACTTGGTCATTATACAGGGAAAAACCAAAGTTACTCTCTCACCCTATCACGTCAATATCTCATTTTTACGAGAAGATACGAGTGTTTCAAGGAGGTATGGCGTTTTTTAACTTTTTTTACCAAAAATCAGAACTTACATGAACTTATTGAATAACAACTTCAAGGATTCATATCACATACTTCCACCTCACTTTCTTAGCACTTACCGGAATATTAATTACGAAAAACAAATGAGAAGCAGACAATTCAACCGCCGTGTCATCGAATTGATCAAATTTCTCAAGTAGTCTTGAAGAATTGCTTAAAATTCTCCTTGATGGGCGAATCGTATCTCTTGAAGAATCTCTGACAAGGATGGGCGAAAGCGATTGAGCCTCTAGAGGTCACCCCTAAGATGCTCTATAGGTTCTGAATTATTATTGGAAATTAAAAATTTTTATACTTTCTTGAAACACTTGTATCTTCTCTCAAAAAGAGGATATTGACGTTGTTCAAGAACCGTTGTATGAAGAAGGAACAACAGAGGATTAAACTTCAATTCAAAACATGATGAAACAGAAGGTTGGAGAAAGGTTCTGAATTATTGTTAAAAAAAAATTTTGAAAATCCATACTCTCTTGAAATACTCGCATATTCCCTTAAAAAGTAGTAATCGACGTGAATAAAAAACCATCATGTAGAGTTGAGATTACTCTTCAATCTCAAACATAATGAAGCTAAGTTAAACCACTCACTTTTCCCACAGGGCGTTAAGAAGTTAGGGGTGAAAACGTAACTTTCGTTTTTCCCTGTATAATGATCGAGTCATCAGATTTCCAAAGGAACTAATATTCAGGCTACCATATGGAAAAATGGAGCTACAATTTGGTCGGAATTTCACCAAAATCGGACCAGAATTGAAAAAGTTACAGAGCAAACAATTTGACTAAATTATTTGGTGCAGAAAACGCAATATATTTAGTTTGTGATCTTGATAACAAGTTTTCAAACATGACCTAGAAAATAAGATACAGAACGAACCTTGACTTTCTATGAAATGTTATGAAAAATAGAAAAAGGAACGCTCTGTAGATTGATAACGAAGCAAATATTCGGACACATATATATAAAGGGGAAAAAAATGAGTCTCTGAAATCTTGATAGCTACTGAATTCAGAGACACTCTGTATATCCACAAGTTTGGTTCGTCGAAAAGATATACAAAATCAATCTGAACGTTTTTCTGAAAAATTAAAAAAATGACAAACATTAATTTCACTTAAACTATATTTCCATATCAACAAAAACATTCACTCACTGTATCCACGATATGTGGACATGAACAATAAACATTGGTAAAGTGGAATCGTCCTCAGAAAATTGAGCAATACCACTACAACAAATCAAAAGATTCATTATCACTGGAATAATAACGATTTCCTCAGTAGAAGGAAAACAATCATTGGGGCAAAACAAAAGAACATTTAGTGACACAAACTTCCAAAGCTAACATTGATGAATTCTATACAAGGAGTTGTCATCAGATGATTTTTCGAAAAACTTCTTGCTAGGATTAATACTATTCTATTATTTGATACGCTGAAAACTCATTGAAAATAAATATATTTCACAAAATCAGTTTAGTTTTCTATGTCACTCTATCAATAAAGAAACACCCTGTGCAATTGGGATCCCTTAAAAAATATCTGAATGACAGACGAGAATCACGAAAAAATCCCTAATCCTCGTTATTTCATGTTCCTTATTTTTATTCCCTCGGGATCATAAATAAACAACGCTCAATATATTTCAATGAATAAATTATTAGACTAGTTCGTTTTGATTTGCTTGACTATGCCGTTCGATGTACTTGGTCCATCCTGTACCACCGAGTGTTTCTTGGTGTACGCTTTCCTGTAGAAATTACTGAAGAGGTACAAGAAGACCACAACGTTGCCCACGAAGAAGAAGGTCAAAGATTTGGGCAGTTTGCAGTCCATGGCAATGATGAACACCAGGTAGGCGAGCATAATGCAAAACTGCGTCTGAAAAATGCACAAACATTGAAGTAGTTTTTTATCATCATTGATTGTTTTATAGCCACTATAATTTGAAAATTGGCAACGTTATGCTCGATATTATTATTATTGATATTTTGAAATCGATCCCACTCGAAAATGACACATCTGATCGATAATAAATAATAATAATAAAGTTTATTCAAAATGTTGTCATAATATAAAATAAAAGTATTTATTGAAACAAGAGCACGTTTTTTTGGGAAACGGTGTGGATTTTCTTAATCCGAGATTAAATGGGGTAGTTTCCTTTATTGAGGTTCTTATCTCACTGTGGAGCTTGCAGAAAATTAATACATACGTATTCTTTCTTTTTTTCGCAAGATCAAATTTCACTCCAGAAAAAAAATAAATAAAAGAGGAACTTGGCTCCTCCACCATTCCTTTGACTTACTTTCTGAAAATCCACATTCACACAGTTAAAATATGATTTCCTATGCCAGTACGACGACATTGCCGACATCTTCAATATGTCTAGATTTCCGGAAATTGTTCTTTGTATGCACAATAACTATATCATAACAGCAATGGGATATAATAGGTTCTTCAATCCTACTTTGTCTAGTACTATAATTAATTCCCATAAATCTCTCATTGGCTGAATGAAGTAGATTACAAATAAAGATAAATTATGATATTCTTCGATAGTATCTATAATTTCTCACTATCGTTATATTACATTATGTTATTCAAAACTGTCAGTATTTTTTTTGTTAAAGAATTCGTTCCTTAATAAAAAGGATCTACTTTCTGGAAAAGTTGCAGATTATATCTTGCAACAGCGCCTAATATTTCGAGTCCGTCCACACCACTCAAAATACTGACAGGCACAAAAAGAGGAAGGAGCCATGGGTGTCGGCTTCATTCAGATCTGACGTATGGCAGTAAATTAGGAAGGATAGTATCATTGAATGTAGCCGATAGTGATTCATTGATTCAATGATATTTCCGTTCAGGATCGAGCTCTATTCGAAATATTTCAATGAATAAATAACAAAACCATAACCTTTCAGAATGAAGCCAACTACTCTCTGCATTCCTGCTCCGCGTGCATTTGTGGTTATGTATGTTTTTGTTTACTAGTCTTACTATTTCATTCGTTTATCATTCGTTAACTATTCGCTAGCATATATTTCACAATCAGCTATTTTCAGACTAGATTCAGAAAGTACCTACGTCACAGTGTTTGCCGCCCCGAAAATTGAAAATTGCTTTAATTTGAAAATAAAAACGACTTGGACTTTATCGGTCGCCATTCTGTACAGCGTGGACATAAAACGGGAGAGTTCCGAACTTATTTCATTCATCGGAAGGAAATTTCCCCATTGTAGAAAAATATGCATACAAAAAAGTTTGAGCAATATTCCAGAATGACACTTTGAAATTATTTTATGTTCCGCTCATTGGGCATGGAAAGTTTAGTTCTTGTACCAAATTGCATCATTTTTTCAGGCTAATTTGGGGACACCCCGTATATCTATTCCTTAATCAATAATTTAGCTGAATGTTTTTCTACTAAGTCTCTCTTGATATAGTTTTGCATAATTTATTCATTTTATTTCAGTTGTTGCATCACATCTCCCAGTATTACAGTTTATACAACAAATAACAAATATAAAGTATATATCATTTTCAAATACAGAAAAAACATAAATAATCAGAAAGTAATAATCGGTATTAGATCATTAATGAATTATCGACTGTATCAATATAATTATAATTGAGATTACGAATAGGGAACTATGCAACACATGATATCATTGTGATATAATAAAATAACAGTATATCGCAGATGAAAAAAGGATTAAAAGAAGGGAAAAACTATGATGGAGACACAGAAAGTCTGTCAGCTTTAGTCATTAGTTCATAAGGACATATTATTTCTTGAATTTCAACCAACTTTAGCTAAATGAATTTGTTAAAAATAAAAGATTGAGCTATTATTACTACTTGTTTTTCATTATTCCATTCAACTAAAGTCGTTCAAATATCTTTTTCGATACATATTAGATATTTTGTGGTTTTAGCCAGAGAAGTAGTTGTTTTCTCAAGAAGAAAATCTTTTTTCTATTGTTTTTTGTTTATTGTTTATTGAGAGACTAGCTTCCAGTCAGAAATAATATCCTGGTATGAGGAAAATGATCGCAACCAACAATAATAAAATAAGGTGACAGCAACAAGAAAATCAAGAAATCAAAAAATGCTATCAACTCATAAAAATAGCAACAGGGACTAATCAGTAGATGGCAAAGTCTCAATTTGATTCATTTCGTAATTAAATGATGTGTTTATTCAATTCAATTCTGAATTTTGAGATATGTCTGCAATTTTTTATATTAGCAGCAGAATCAAGATGAAATAAGTTTAATTGTCTCGTGTGATGACCATGAATTTCTGAGCTCCTTATAAAAAAAAATTGGATTTCGGATTATTGTTTATCATATTATATGAAACTTCAAGAGAATCTATCTTATATAATTCATCCGATGAAAGTTTTTCTGTTATCGCATACAGATCATTTGTTGGGATATCAAATGAGAGGTGATACAATACTTTCAGTAATTTCTTATAAAGTGCAGATATTTTATTGAAATAATTTTTTTGTATCTAGAGCGCGAAATGCTACTTTGGTGATCGAGATCTGATTTTTTTAACGAGGCGTAGCCGAGTTGAAAAAATAGTCGAGATGACCAAAGTATTTCGCGCTCGAGTTGCAAACAGCATTTTTTCTACAAACATAAAAAATACAGTTCTAAAGTAAAAATATACTCAGCTTGATATAAAAAATAGTGTTGAACTGGCTTAAAAAGCCCCCTCCTATCCTCCCTAGGCACGCATGATGTTCCACTAACATAATAGAAATTTCCTTCCGTGCGCTCCAAGAGATAAAGCAGAGTTATTCTTGAACATTCAGAAATAAATGATTTCGTAGATGTTTGCTCGATTGAGGACCAAAAAGTTGAAATATAAATATCTCATATATTTTACATAACAATGCGCGAAGTATAGGTACTTCGCGCATTGTTTTCTGTAAGGTATCATGGTAACGTAAGAAACTGAAAAAAAGTGTCACTTCGCAATTCGTCATCAATGCGCGAACCTTGTCATTTTTTGACGTTTGTAGAAAAATAACTATTTGAACAAGATCCCCAAACGTTTATATGAGAATAAAGTACTATATTATGTTTATGAGTTTTTTGTCAAGTTTAGGACATCTTCGCAAAGCTCCAATGATTGGAGATATTTTTTGTATCAGAATCTCTATATGCTTGTCCCATTTCAATTTTTCATCAATCCACATACCAAGATACTTTATTTGTGTAGTTCTTTTCAATACTTTATTTTCAATTCGGAGATTGAGACTAATATTCTGTTTATTTTCCTGATGGAATATTTGATATTCAGTTTCATTGGTATTAATTGATAAAATGTTTGAATGAAACCATTTTTCAAATTTTTTTCATGAGTCATTCAAAATCAGGATGAGTGTGTTTCAATGATGATGTGTTGGTACTTACCAACTGAATCCAAGTCATGTACTTTTTCCACCAGAGGTATTTTTGGTATTTGGGACCTAACGCTGACAGGAAATAGTAAAAGTACATAACCACGTGGACTAGAGAGTTCAGAAATCCTATCACTACGCCTTGCTCACCTGTGAATATCGAAATTACGTATTATTAGTGATTGGTGTCTATTACATACCTACCAAGAGAAATCATCGTTTATCTCATGATGAATAAAAAAAACAACTGAAAATTGTGTGAAAGGAAACAGTTCCTGTGTCATTATTGAAAGTGAACAACTTTTAACGAGATAGAGAATTGAATTAAAACTATTACTAAGTAGATATGGAGATATTGATATGATTATAAAAAAACATACGTTTGTTATACATATTTAATGAGAGTAAGCTTATCCTTTATATAACAATCTATAAAGCGTGTCCCAGAATAACGATCGAATACTCCAGGAGCTTGCTTGTATCGAATCGTATTGGTGTGAGGAATATGTGGTGAGTTTCTGTAAAGACCATTTAGAGGTTTTCCACTCCATTGATATTATCATGGTCCACCAATAATAAGAATATTGGTGGACCACTATAGAAGCAATATTATGGAAGTTCAAGTACTCGAATAGCTTTATTCAGGTAAAATCTGCTTGTAGGAGTCTACTCAGCTTTCTAATGAAAGGTATTCAGAAGAAAAAATAGTTTTCGTGAACTTCACATCTGATTTGTTGAAAATCATGTTGATGCATCTGCGGTACGTCAATACTAAATCTTTTGAAGACTTCTGAGGGTTGCACGTTGCTCGTCAGGGGGAAATAAGAACAATTTTAGAACTATCACTGAGTTCTATAATCACGTTCGGACTTCGAATGAAGATCAAGAAACTCTCTTGAGAAACTTGCTAACATATAGTAAACTGGATGTGAGGGTTCAAAAGTTATCTGGTCTGGGAATACTTTCGATTCATCGTAATGGTTATCATTATAACATTGTTATTAGGTCTTTATATTTATTGTTGTTCATTTATATTTCCTCACTACCAATAATATCTCATGCTATAATGAATATTGTGATGTTCGAATAGTCTTGTGATTTCAGCTACTATTAAACTATCAGTTGTATATTTGAGTAAAGGTATGTTATTTTGATATTGTTTCATTCCGATATTTGTAATATGTATCTCTATCATTGGAAAATTGGGCCAGTTTGTATTCAAGGTGAGCCATGTGAAAGAGTATTTATTGGATGATTTCTTTTCCCAATTGTTATTTTTCAATAGGAAAATGGAAAATGCTGGTTATTACATGAATTTATACAGCAATTAAAATGAAATAATGAACATAATGAAGATAAGATAATTTGAGGAATCGACTGTGATTTCTCCGTTTCCACACAGTTATGGTTTCATCGACTTGAAGACACTTCCTTTTCGGTTATTTTTCATTTCAGGAAAAGGTTGAAACTTCATTATTTCATTCTTACGAAGTCATGTCTGGATCAATTCTTAGCACTCAAATAAAATATATCTCTACTTCTTACTGCAACGTTCAAACTTTTTTACCAAAGAATGATAAATAATATTGTTGTCTTAAATGGAGTAACGAAAATGTGACAAATAATAGAAATTGACGCCAATATGACATATTTTAGAATAAAAGCAGGTACATCAGCATAATTTTCAACTATTCTGAACTGTACTGGAAAATTGATTTGTCTCACGAACAACTTCTATTAGTGAGCTGAATTAATAGACTCCTTCAATCATATTTCACCAAAATGAAGCCATTCGGGTAATAAAACTTCCATTATGTTGCTTCTACATTGGTAGAGGTGTCTAGGTTGGCAGATCGAAGCAAAGTGTCTCAATTTATTATTTTTGAGTTTCATCCTCTTTTTCTCACCTGGTAAAAATTTCAGATATCCCCATGAGAAAAACATAGTTATGGCGTGGTGATACACATGCAGGAAGGTGACCTGAGATTGTTTTTTCCTGAGTACGAAGAACACTGTGTCTAAAAGTTCCACAATTTTCGAAAAGAAATACCACCAGGCACCATTCGACAACTGAAAAAAAAAAATTCAAGTCGAACATTGGCAAACAATCGGGAATAATTTCATTCAATTCATCACCGAATGAATTGACAATTATACTTTATAATACTAATTATATAAGATTTAAAGTCAATCTTGGAAAATACCTGGTTAGGACAATTTGATTGAAAAATATTTGGCATGATTTAATTACTCAGAATTGAAATGTTATAACTTTCATCTTGAAAATAAATATGGATTTGTTTTTATACTGAGTGTAATACATTGGTTGAATTTTTATTATCAATAATTTTGTTATACGTGTTCATGTATCCCTATTATGAATAGATATGGTCCTTGGGGGTAATTTAAGACAATCAATCATTCAATAATAACTTCACGGAGGCGTTTTTGAAAAAACGCTTGGACTCTTCGAACAGTGGTTCAAATAATAATATTAATAACAATAATAATTATAATCATATTATTCTTTGTTTTGAACATTGCATTGCATCTTATATGAATATAAATATATTTCATTAAGGTTCATAATGTAATAACAAGAATAATCAGACAGATTAATATCTGGTATGAGATTATTCATATATGCGTTATTTAATCTAAGTTATTGAAATAAACAACAGAAACAAAAATAATAATAATAAAAAGAATCCCATGAAAAGTATAATATTATGACGTGATGAAATAAATTAGTGAATGAAAAATCATTCACTCAGGTTTGATTTTCTCTTTGCAAGAGAATATGTTCGGGGATGAAGTTCGTAAAAGAAAAAATCACGAATGAGACATAGTTTTTTAGTAATTATTTTGTATAGCAATCAAAAAAATTTATAACTTCCGAACCACCAACAATTTCATAACAACGTATACGTGTTCCGACCCATTACTTATGAGACACCCTGTATATTATTATAATGAATAATGTTTCAAGAATTTTGAAATAATATACAGGGTGGGTCACGGTAGATGGCACCTTAGACGTTTACGGAGAACGGGACATAAGATCATCCTGAAAATTTGGTTACTCAAGTAATTGCTCTTGATCTATCGATCTAAAATATTTTCAGCTCTGCGGCGTTGCCGCTTCTATCGAAAAGTAGCAACAACTTTGTTATTTTGAATAGAACACCCTGTATTTTATTGCATCTTCAGATTCTCACTGAAGAGCTGATTCCATCGATATATCACACTTGGGGTTTAGCGGAAATGATTACAGAGATATAGGGTGTGAAAAATCGACATTTTTCAACTTAAGGAATTTTTTTTGTCGAAACTATTCATTATTGGTCAAAACGGCTCACATGTCCCTATCTCAACTTTTGATCAACTATCTACTGATAATTAATTGGGACATATACCGGGTGATCAAGAATCTGAATTCTGCACCACCCTGTATTCGTTTCAATTAAATGTCAGTAGATAGTTGATCAAAAGTTGGGATAGGGACATGTGAGCCGTTTTGACCAATAATGAATAGTTTCGACAAAAAAAAATCCGTAAGTTGAAAAATGTCGATTTTTCACACCCTATATCTCTGTAATCATTTCCGCTAGACCCCAAGTGTGATATATCGATGAAATCAGCTCTTCAGAGAGAATCTGGAAATGCGATGAAATACAGGGTGTTACATTTAAAATAACAAAGTTGTTGCTACTTTTCGATAGAAGTGGCAACGCCGCAGAGCTGAAAATATTTTAGATCGATAGATCAAGAGCAATTACTTGAGTAAACAAATTTTCAGAATGATCTTATGTCCCGTTCTCCGTAAACGACTAAGGTGCCATCGACCGTGACCCACCCTGTATATTGTTTTCAATATTGCGTATTCTTGCAGTCCAGCAAAATATCGTCATGTGGTTATACAGGAAGGTTCTAAGCAGAATCAATTTTTTGTAGAAAATCAGGGGGGGTCAGTCTGACATGATATTATAACATTGACTTACCCCAATCTAACCTAACCTGATCTTGTGACATCACATTTCGGAAATATGCACCGGTCCAACTTTCAACCTAGCTCAACCTAACCTCAATCTACTCCAACCTACTACTATCAGGAGTCTTATCCAGATTCAGAAAACTTGCCACTCACCACTTCTTGGAATTCCTTGTTCGTTGATGGATTCTTGCAGGTGCTGCTCAAAATCTGCACAGGTTTCTTGACCTTCAGAGCCTGAGAACAGAGCCACAGGCTGAACAACACTTGGTAGGCGTTGTAGGCTATCATTACTCCCTTTAAATCGAAGGCTTTTCTCTTGGACATCAATTGAGGCCCCAATTTCAGTACGAAGTAAAGGTACACCAGAAGTATGGAGACTACAGGAATAGGGGATTTCATGAAGAGCCATGAATCCACCATGGGATCTGAAATATCACGATACATGGTGAAAATCAATTCTCAGGGTCTCTTTATTACTTCAATTTTTTATAACAATTATTTCAAGAAATGGTTATTCACCAAATGAAAAATTAGATCTTCAATCGATATATAAAATCAAATTAATTAACATTTATTCATTCAGTCAAACATAATTTTGAACATTCCAATTTGAATCATAACCAAAGGTGAATTTGGCAAGAGATCTATGTAGTATATAGTACAATGTATAATTACTCCACAATAAATTAGAAAAAATTTCAGTACCAAAAAATTCGGAGAAGAAGTTAGTATTTAAGACTAGGTGGGGTCCCTCAAGGATCTATATTAGGTCCTGTTTTATTTTTGTTATATATATTATCTCAATTGTCAACCTCAGATTGAAAGGGAAAATATATATGTTTGCGGATGATACAACAATGATCTATTCGGAAAATTCGGATGAAGAAATGAAGAAAAACATTAAAAGTGATTTAGGCACCTTATATTCTTGGTTGAATCATGAAAAACTGAGTATTAATTTCAACAAATCAGCTTTCATGTATATATCTAAGAAATCTCTTTTAAATGAATCGAAAAATCATATTGGAGAGATTCGAAAAAGAATATCACCAATAATAGGAGTACTTCACAGAATTAGAAATGAAATCTCTATGAATTATTTAGAACTTATCTATTGTTCCTTAATTTATTCTAAAATTGAATATTTGATATCGGTTTGGGGTACGGCTAGTTTATAAATTATTACACCAGTTAAAATCCTTCAGAATAAAGTTGTCAATTGAAAATATAAATTGGATTGGAACCAACAAGAAACCTTTATGAACCAAATAAAATATTAGATCTTCAATCAATATATTAATTTTTTTCCTCACACGATGTAACTCTTTGTGCTGAAGTAATGTACCAATTTTGAGATTAATATCTCATCAAATACGCGAGTAATTACAAAAAACAGTTTTGAATTTCCAACTTTGACACTCTGTATATCGAATATGAAGGGCTAAAATGAAAAATGGTATTTAGAAACTCAAATTGTTTTCGTTCAAGGAATATGTGGTTAGTGGATTGACCTCCTCTTAGTGGACACCCTGTATAACAATGGATTAATACTTTACAATGAATTTCCAACAAGACTTAACATATATCATAAGATATCAATTATTTTAATCATTCATTCACTCAAACAAGGACCAGCAATTACTAGAATAATTATTATACCCATACCTACTACATTTTAAATGTAATGTAATACATTTTGGTATATTTTTTATGTTCCCTGTAATAAACATATACGTCAATTGTTTCTAGGGAATAATGAAGATGATGATGATGATGATGAGATCAGGTTTTGTGGTAAAGAAACTTCATTCGAGAAAAATTAATAAATTTAGAAATGATCAATAACATTATTATACTTTTTTTTTTTCATTTTACTTGATCATTTATTTATATCACATCAATTTTTATCAAAGAGAATGCGAAATAACCTAACTCCCTGTATATTGATTGAATTGATACATGTTTTCCATGCACATTCACTATAGTGAATTGCCCCACGAATTTCAGAGCAGTAACTTTCAAGGATTTCGACATATTATATAAAATCAGGAGATAAAAATGTTTTTCATCGCCCATCGGCCGGATTTTGTTTCTAGTTCACCCTGTAGAATTCATTGTACTTCGTTCGGGGACACCTTGTACATATATTCACCGCACTAGTGTGGTAAACTACCATTTTACAGTACTAGTGTACAGATAAAAAAAAATTATATCGAGACCTTGATCTTCAAACGGTGCTACTTGATATCATTGTGATTCACAGACAAGAGTGTTACATAAAACTCAATTGCTAATTGTTATTCAGGTATTGACACATCTGTCATCACGGATTCAGATTCAATGGAGATTTCCCAATGTCTGTGATGAATTAGATATATCAACATCAGTATGCAGTTCACACTTTACTTTGCAAATTATTGACGTCAAACCAAATATAAAAGCTTACCAAATATAAATCAAATAACATCAATTCATTAGTACTTTCGTACTGAATAAATACAGTTTTAGCCAAACGATGCATTTCTGAGGAATATCCGGGAACAAGTCGATTTTTAACCTCAATTCATCATATTTATAAAGGGCAATTGTATACAGTGTCATTCATAAAGTCGGCATCATATGGAAAAAACTTTTAATAATAATTCATTTTGGAATTCGACTTGTGCAATGAGTTTTGCTCCAAAAATATGAAAAATAGCCTACTCGGCCAGAGTCAAGTGACTTTCGCTACATGTCAAAAATAGATTTTTTTAAAATTTATCGCTGAAATTAGTGTTATTTGTTCGAATTCCAAAAAAGTTCACATGGAAAATTTGTTTCTGTTCAAATTTTACACATGTGTCTGGAATTTGAACGTTCTATTGCAATTGTTAGCTCTTGATATTTTCTGATTTCTAATAATAATTGAAACTTCGACAAAACTGTCCTAAACTTTGGTTAGATACGTAAAGTAGCTTGATGATATTTTGATAGGTGACCTTGGCATCATCTCAGTACAAGAAGAATCCATTTGAATAAATTTCGCTTCTGAATGCTAGACGATAAATCGACTTTGCATCGAACATAACAGAAATTTTGAAGCGGGAATCAGTATTTTCTGAAGAAAATCATATTTTTGTCGATAATTAGTGATTGAAAGTTAGTTGCATGATAAAGCTACTAGAATGAAATAGACATTTCGGAGAAAAGGAAAAAGATATCAAAAACTAAAAGTTGTTATGGAACGTTGGAACAAGAACGAGACACATTTATGTAAAATCGGAATAGATACACTTTTTCTTCGTAAACCTTCTTGAAATTCAAACGAATAAGTCAATTTTCAGCGATTTATTTGAAAAAATCACGTGACCTCAACCCAGTAGTTCAATTTTCGTATTTTTTAAAGCAAAACTTAACGAACAAAACGTATTTTGAAATGAATTATTATTGAAAGTTTTTCCCATACGATGCCGACTTTATGAATGACACTGTATATATTGTATATATTGTGTTGTATATATAGGGGGATCCACGTTCGAATAATGGAACACCCTATGCATCATTCAATTTTTGGAATCTCCATGTGAAGGTTAATTTGGAGGTATATCAAACATAATTTTTAATTCAGCTTCCCATGGATATTCCAAGAACTGAATACTATACATATAGGCATTTCCATTTGAAAAAATTTTCGTGGACGTCTTTACCCAAACATGATGGATCACCCTGTGTATCTATTTGATTTTTTCCTATCAATATGGTAAATTCAATCAGACCTGTTTCAGGAGATCCCTCGAGAAAGGACGATTTGGTTGAAAATTTCACACCAAGCCTGTATTTCGCATCGTTACCATAGCAACAAAACAAATTTCTTGGAAATATTTTCCTCCTGCTTGGAGGACGGCTCATGAAATTACACTGGAAATTCTTTGGCGTTTATAAGTTAAATAACATTAACATTCAACTTCAGATTATTTCGAGTTCATTCTATAAGTCAATTAATAAAAATCATTTATCAACAGTTCACCATATAATATATTATGTAGGTATACTTGCAAATTCGGAATTTACAAAAGCACATGTTCTTACTATACGTTAGTTCTTACATTTCATTAAAAACAAACATCAACATGTAAATTTCCTTACCAAATTCCGCTGTTGCTTCAATTAATATCCGGTATTTTTTCTCGAACACGAATATTTAGAAAATTCGTGTAGTCGAAAAAATTTCCGGAAATAATTGAAGCTCTCTTGATATTATAACTGAGAATGAACGAATTCAGTGATATTTGGTTGTGAATTATTTCTTCATAATGAACTTTTTAAATATCTATAGTAAATCGCATGAAGTAAGGAATAGTGTCACAATTTTCATATGAAAGATATCATCTGAAATAAAAATGGAATCTTGGTATTTGGTTTGATGACAGGTTGAAGTGGGACAAACATATTGATGTTCTGACAAAAAAAATATCTCCAATTATTGGTGCATTGAGAAGATGTCCCAAACTTGATATTAAAATTGCAAACATGATTCTCTATACTCTCATATACTGAGTCGTATTAACTATTTAATAAATGTCTGGGGATCTTGTTCAAAAAATAATTTCAATAAAATATCAACATGAACATTACATAGAAAATCGTTAAAAGTATTGTATCGTCTCCCATTTGATACACCAACCAATCAAATGTTTGAAATAACAAATACGTATTCTTTAGATGAAATATATAGAATTGAAACTCTTAAAATATCATATAATATCATAAATAAAAAATTGAAGTCGAATTTTATTTTGATACGGAATTCTGAAATTCATAATCATGAAACTAGACAATATTCCTTGTTTCATCTTTCACTGAATTCAATAAACTACCTGACAATATAAAAAATTGCAGAAATATAGGTACATTCAAAAATGAAGTGAAAAAACTGATTATTTCTGAGTGAACTGGATAAAATTTATCATGCCATTTTTTTTTACAAATATTATTCTTTGTTTGCCAATTTATAGTTGTTGATATATTTTGAATAATGATATGTTTACCTATATGTATATAATTATGTACTTCCTTATACCAGAGCCTATTCTGTCTGGAAGTTATTTGATCAATGAATAAATAAATCTGAAGAATTCGATATATTTACTTTATGAACGTCACGTCATTTTTTTGGGGTTCGAAGTGAATTTCATTATTATAACAACTGTTTTTGTACTAACCTCTGGTTTCAACGAACTCGTTATAATTCTCTACGACCAAATGCACCAGTGATGCCATGGTGACCTAGAAAACAGAGATAACTTGTTCATCAGTCGGTATAATTTCAAGTATAAATTCATGTATAAAAAAAAGGGAAACTCGCGATTATATTATTTGTGAACCCTCGACAACCGTCAGTTTGAACTGAATTTATATATTTTTTAAGGTGTTGCTCAGGACTGAAATTCCTTGTGTCCTTGATTATTTCAATAACCAAGGGTTTTGTACGAATTGTAGCCAGGTTAGGCTTAACCACCATCACAACAGTTTCGTTCTTCAATGAAAAACTTTGTGAAATAGAGAACCAAAAATTCACTGTGGATCACATTGTATGCATTTCCGCAGTCTAGGACTCTCACCAGACGTGAATTTAATAAAAGAATTCCAATGAAATTAATTACATAATGAGTAAATAAGCTTCTAGTAATTGTCACTTTCCTTAAGGAAATTGAATTCACCTACCTAACTATCTAATGAATGATTCTTTCACATTCCATGACTGCATATTAATTTTCGAATATAATTATAGGGAAGTTTGATATGTTATAATACTGTAATACCTATACAGGGTGGAAGAGTTTAACTGCAGAAGTTCGTTGAAAATTATTAGGGATGAATACATCAATCATAGACGTTATTCAAGAATTTTCTCTTGCTCTCATTCTTCATCCTATTATGGAAATCATCAAATCCAACTTCGATAAAATTGAACTTGCGATAATTTTGTTTTTTTTACTATTATGTTGTTGAAATAATTTACTAGGTTTCTCAATCAAATATTAACTGAAGAAAATTGTGTGATAATTAATCAAACTGATTTTTCATATTCCTCGACACGTGTTTCGCTGACTATGTTAGCATCTTCAGAAGAAGATTAAAACTATTCCACTGTGCTACTTATACAGGCTGAATCACGGTGGATGACACATAAGACGTTTCTGAAGAGCACAACGTAGGATTATACTGAAAATTTCACACAGAACATTTTCGATGAATTTGAAGTCTGTATTTCGTATCGTTACCATAGCAACTGAACAAATTTGAATGACATTTACATTCAACTTCAGATTATTTCGAGTTTATTCTATGAGTCAATAAATAAATATCATTTATCAACAGTTTATCATACGAGAATATGTAGGTATACTTGCAAATTCGAAATTTACAAATACTGATGTTGTTACTATACGTTAATTCTTACATTTTATCACAAATAACCATCAACATGTAAATTTTCTTACAGAATACAACATTAGCTTCAATTAATATTTGGGAATTTTTTCTCCAACACGAATATTTAGAAAATTCTCCCTCGTCTTCAACTCGAGAGAATTTTCAAAATATTCGTGTTCTCGAAAAAATTTCCGGAAATAATTGAAGCTCTCCTGATATTATGAGTGAAAAATTGTTTTTTTTGGATAATTAGTTGTGTTCTATCGACCTATAATATTCTCAGTACTGCGACGTTGCCGCTTATAATGAAAAGTAGCATCATAGTCGATTTTTTGAATGGAACACCCTATATTATTCCATTTTCAGATCCTTCCTGAAGTGCCGATTTCATCGATCTATTACACTTGGGGTCTACCGTGAATGATAACAAAGATATAGGGTGTGAAAAGTCGAGATTTTTCAATTTCAAGAATTTCTTGTGTCGACACTATTGATAATTAGTCGAAACGGTTTTGATGTCCCTATCTCAACTTTCCATGTACTATCAATTGATATTCAATTGAAATAGATACAGGGTGGTTGAAAATCTTAATTCTGAACCACCCTGTACCTATTTCAATTAAATATCAATCGATAGTAAATGAGAAGTTGAGATAGGGACATGAAAATCGTTTTGACCAATTATGAATAGTTTCGACACAAAAAAATCTCGACTTTTCACACCCTAAATCTCTTCAATTGTCACTGCTAGACCCCAAGTGTTGTAGGTCAATGAAATCAGCTCTTCAGGGAGAATCTGAAAATGGAATAATATACAGGGTGTCCCATTCAAAAAATCAAAGTTGTTGCTACTTTTCAATATAAGCGGCAGAGCTGAGAATACCTTGGGTCGATAGAGCACAACTAATTATCCAATTAAGGTATCAAATTTTCTGAATAATCACAAGTTACATTCTTCAGAAACGTCTAATATGTGCCTTCCACCGTGAATCAGCCTGTATTCGATAGAATTTTCAGGGCACACCAAAAGTGCATCGGTCAGCAAGTACTAAGTATGTCAGGCATAGACATTTTTCTATGATTACCTATGCATTTGCGTTCATTCACACGGTGCAACAAAGCTGAATCATTGATAAAAATGGCAATGCACAATGCTGGTACGAATAACATTATTCCGGAAAATAATTTGAATCGAATAGATACAGGCTGATTTTGAACTGAAAAATGGTGTATTATCAGTCTCCCATTTGAGTGTGGAATTTGATATCAATTCGACCTATTTTTTTTAAACGCTTGGAGCGAACAAATACTTTTTCTTTTTTCAACTTTGTTTCCAGATCACATGATATGTGTGAAGAAGGAAAAAAAAAGCTATATTGGGTGATGCATCGACATAAAAAAATCAGTTGGTATTCAGAACAGTGATGCTTATGACTTGAAAATTTCCAAAATGTCCAACAATATAACTTTGCAAGGACAAAATAAGGACAGGATTCTCCTATTTATCGAAGTGTATGTACATAATATAATGCTGTACCAGAGACAGTTTTTGAAGGATGTGAGAAAGTGTACCATAACCCCAAGAAACCTTTCAAGGAACAGAGCCAATAATTGATTGTAGATACCTAAATCGAGTTTATTATTATTGTATTTGTTACTATACATTAAATGCTATGATTTTAATGGCCAGCTTTTCATATTTAGTGAACTATCAATAGTCAATCCAAATACGAGATGTCAAATTTCAGCAGATTGCTCTTGACTGTCACTACTCACGCCATTATTTTGAATGATATTCTTCTCACTAAATATGGATAAATCGCAAGAAAATCATATTTTTTGTTGACTCTTATAGCAGAAAAAATGTGTCATTGAAGTACATTGTGATATATACAGGGTGATTCAGGTTTTGAAGCACAAATAGGAATGGCAGATAGATCTCATCCTTATAATCAAAAAGGTTTATATAAACATTAGTCCGATCTCGTCCAGTAGCGGAGCTACAGCTGGGGGTCACAGTTTAATTATTTTTTTCTATTAATTGAAATATCTTGCCTACTTTTCAAGATATCATTGCGAAATTCGGTGTGGTCAATACTTTATACATGAATTAAATTGTCATTTAAATAAAAATCAAGTGAAACATGACAAAATTAACATGTTGTAGAACGTATATGGTTATTTATCAAAAAACAATTAAGGACCAAAAAAGCCTCTGAAATGAACGATCCACACAATTTGATCACCGGAAGATGCCAGAGCCTCTGCCCCAAAAAACGTATCACCCTGTAGATTTTGAAAATCTTTGAATGGCTTGAAATGATGATCTTCTAGAATGTATTGACCACACCAAATTTCGAAATGATATCTTGAGAAGTAAGCGAGATATTTCAATTTATAGAAAAAAATAATTAAACTGCTACTGAACGAGCTCGGACTGATGTTTATAAACACTTTTTGATTGAAATGAAAAGATCTATCTCCCATTTCAGTTTGTGCCTTGAAACCTGAATCACCCTGTAAATTGTCCAATGATGAAAAAAGAAGGGCAAATTGTTCTATATGGAATCCAAAAGGCAGGCGGAAAAGAAGGTGAAATTTGTAACTGTAAATATATTGATAAATGGTTTCTTCACATTTTCATTATCAAATTCGTGTTTTCCAGACAAAAATAAGTGAGCACCAAAAACTTTTTCTAAAAACAAAACCCATCGTATGCTAAATGCAGTTTTACCAAATATGCTCCCCACAAATAGGAAAACCAACGAATCCTGGCGATATCTGGTAAAAGATTTCTGGTTATCTAGTCATGTAAAATGTAATTATTGGTTTTCAAGAAGAGCACATGAGTAGTTATCTCCTTAGATCACTCACCTGATCACACCTAATCCTAAGTACCAACTGCTCCGTGTATTGAGTACCACCAACGACACTTGTCCCCAATTCACGATTCTAGACCACGACCCATTCGCACTAAACTTCCAGCGATAAGTGACTATCCGCTTTGCTGTAGTTGAAATTTCTTCGGTGATATTCCGCCAATGGGACTTGCTTCCTTTCACTTGGTGGACTAGTGAAGAAGATGAATTTCTCGACTTGTTGCTTTATAACTGGTCCATCACTGCAGTTGTGTAGGTACCAGAAGTCCAGTAGGAAAATATTGGTTTCTTAATTCATCATATTATTCAGCAATTGACATTTTTGACAAGTCGCTGAAGGGTGTAGATATTTTTTCGTAAAACGTCAGATATCTTTGACATTTTGTCTCATTCTTTATTTTTGTTACGGTTACGGTTATAATTGAATATTTATATCATGGCTATCAGGCCAATTTTACTGTATGCCTCAGTAGTCTGGGGCCACACAGCTAAATCTCATATCACCAGATTACAAACATTACAAAACAAAGTCGCGAGAATGGTGACAGGATCTCCTTGGTATGTTCGGAATAACCAGATCGCCAGGGATCTGAAACTCCCTTCAATCGTGTCAGTCATTAAAGAACGAAACATCAAGACTTTCGAAAAAGCTGAGGTTCATGAGAATCAGCTTCTTCGAAATGCAGTTGATTATGACCCAGGTGATCAATCAAAATTCAAAAGACCGAGATTGTCCATAAACTAGAGAAAATATCGACATTATGACCAAATTTACTTTTCTCAAGTTTTTGATATTTATTTTTTCCGTTCGATCTCTTTCAATTCTTAGAATGTATTTCTGAAACTTATTTGGGGCAGAAGGGCTGTTCGCATCAAACTTCAATACCGTTTTTATTTTGTTCCATAATAGATATCAGGATAAGAGGGACTCTTCCCTGGTCTGAATAAAATAAAAGGAAGATCCAA